GGAACTGTCCTCCTGCGATGACTACCGGTAATTGTTGAGCTGTGATACCCTTCTGGGGGTCCGGGCCAGCGGAACATGTCCAGAAGCCGCCTGGCCTGGGTGCCTGGCGGGGTGGTCCAGGGCGGCCTGAGCTCCAGGGCCCGGTGGGCCTGACGTCCACGCAGACGTTCGGCGTTGGGATATCATTTATGGAACTGACCAGCCCCAGGTAAGTCAGAGTGATCATTCAGCCTCATGGGCTGGGTGCGGTTCCTCTTTCTGGGGGTACCGGCTCCCATCTTTTTCCCAACTTCTTCTTCGGCTGCAATCTGATCCGTCGATCTTCCGAGATCTGCGGCCTAGACTAGATTGAAGCAGTCGTGGGCGCGCTCGTCTTGCCGCGCTCTCGAGAAACCACGTTCGTATAGGGGGTAGGGGGTAGGGAGACACTGTCGTGGTCACCAATTCGCAGTTCGTCTTGTCCACAGTGCGGCCACATGGTTTCATTCGCAGTTGGTGCGCCCCCCTACCGTCGTCGCCTCTGCTCGTCGTCACCGTTGCCGTGGCCATAGCCGTCGCGCTCCTCTCCGCGCTGCCGCGCTGTTCGACAGGGCGCCCTCCGTGCGAAGAAGGTGAGCCCCGTCATCGTCTTCGTTTCCTCCTCATCGTCGACCTCCTCCTCCTGCCTCCTCGTCCAAAACTCTCCCCCTCCTTGTCCACCTCCTTCTCCTCCTCCCCTCCTCCTCCTTTTTCTCCTTCTTCTTCTACCTTCTTCTCCTTCTTCTTCTACCTTCTTCTCCTTCTTCTCCTTCTTCTTCTACCTTCTTCTCCTTCTTCTCCTTCTTCTTCTACCTTCTTCTCCTTCTTCTCCTTCTTCTCCTTGTTTTCCTTGTTGTCCATCAGCCTCCTCCTTGTCCACGTCCACAGTTTGTTTTTCTCCTCTCCGTCGCGGCGCCCACGTTCTTCACCGTCCATCGACCTCCTTCCCACATCGGCACCCTGCCCCCTCTTCCCGTGTCCTCCTGCGTTGATCTTCTCCCTTCTCCCCCTCTTCTTTCCCCCACTTCACCCCTCATCGCCACCCTCCGGCTTCCTCCCTTTCCTCCCTATTTCCTCCTTCCTCCCCCCCTCTCCGTGCCACGTCACCCTACTTCGCCACTCTTCGCCTTCCTTCATATGCTCTCCGTGCCACTTGGCGCTTCAATATCGGCGGG